AGGCATCTGTTCAGCAGCAGAGAAGACTAGGGTCTCCTTATGAGGTGCTAGGCTTGGTAGCTTCAGGAGTAGGATTGATGGCCTCATCCATATCAGACCCGTCTACTCCAATATCAGCTCTTTCTTCCAGCCTGATCCACAGGCTGTTTTTTTTTTTTTCGTCATTCTTCAGCAATTTCTTCCTCTATTTGTAAAGCCAGTTTCCTCTATTTGTAAAGCCAGTTTCCAGAGGCACATTTGAGGAATAAAGCCCAAGTTTGGTTTTACAACCAAACATTGCCTCATAGGGACTTGGCTGCAAGAAAACATCGAAAGCCTGATTCCTCACCATCTGCATGAATCATAGGCCTCTGGCCCAGTGACATGAGTAGTTACTCTGCATCCAGGCACTTATCATGTTCTTTACACCATGGTTTGCTTGCTCCAAGGAGCCCTGGCCTTGGCCAGGCTGGTATTACCAGAGACAATTGTTAGGTCCAGCCATACCTCATAGAGCTCATTAACAACTGGTTTGTGAACTCTATGCCACTGTCAGATGCTGACACACTGGGAGTACCAAGAATTATGAAAATATCTAACAAGACACAGACCACCTCATGGGACTGTTTTTGTTTTGTTTTTTGAGTTGGAATCTCATTCTATCACCCAGGCTAGAATGTAGTAGCATGCTTCTGGCTACCACAGCCTCAACTTGCTGGGCTCAAGTGATCCTTCTGCCTCAGTCTTCCAAGTGCCTGGAACGACAGGCCTGGCTAATTTTTAAAAAGTTTATTGCAGAGATGAGGTCTTGCCAAGTTGCCCAGGTGGTCTCAAACTCCTGGGCTCAGGCAATTCTCTTACTTCTGCCTCCCAAAGTGTTGGGATTATAGGCAGAAGACTGCACCTGGCCTGTTTCTGTTTTGTTATGTTTTGTTTTTGGAGTAGCAATCTCACTCTGTCACCCAGACTGGAGGGTAGTGGCATGCTCACAGCAACTGCAGCCTCAACTTACTGGGCTCAGGCGATCCTTCTGCCTCAGGCTTCCAAGTAGCTGGAACTACAGGCGTGTGCCGCCACACCTGGCTAATTTTTCTTGATTTATTGTAGAGATGAAGTCTCGTCGAGTTGCCCAGGTTGGTCTCTAACCCATGGGCTCAGGCAATCCTTTCACCTTGGCCTCCCAAAGTACTGGGATTATAAGTCTCAGCCACCGCACACAGCCTCCAGTTTTTAGTAGTGGTAAAATAATAAACTTGGTCAAGTGGTCTTGGTAATATAAAATAAACTTGAATTTGCCATTGGCATTTGACTGCATGTCAAGTATTTCAACTTGCGTCTGGAGTCCATGTCCTTATAAGTTATAGGTTTGGGCATAAAGCCTCTCTTGGGTATTGGGAGTCAGATATAAGACAATGACTTCTTTGGTGACATTCTCACATTTTCCTTGCAGCTCCTTGAGCATGTGTGTCTGCCCATTGTGTCCAATACTGAGATGTGTATCATTAAAAAATTAGACCGGGACGGGGCTCAGTGGTTCAGCCTGTAATCTAGTGCTTTGGGAGGCCGAGGTGAGTGAATTGCCTGAGCCCGTGGGTTCGAGACCTGCCTGGGCAACTTGGCGAGACCTCATCTCTACAATAAATCAAAATTTAGCTGGGCATGGTAGTGTGCGCCTGTAGTTCCAGGTACTTGGAAGGCTGAGGCAGAAGGATCGCCGGAGCCCAGCAGGTCGAGGCCGTGGTGGCCTGGAGCATGCCACTGCACTCCAGTCTGGGTGACAGAGTGAGACTCCAACTCAAAAAAAAAAAAATTAGAACAGGTGTGAGGGCTCATGCCTGTAATCCAGCACTTTGGGAGGCCAAGGTGAGAGGACTGCCTGAGCCCAGGAGTTCGAGACCAGCCTGGCCACTTGGCGAGATGTCTCTACAATAAATTTTTAAAAATTAGCTGGGCATGATGGCATGTGCCTATAGTTCCAGCAGTTGCTTGGAAGGCTGAGGCGGAAGGATTACCTAAGTCCAACAGGTTGTGGCTGTGGTGGCCATGACCGTGCCACTGCACTCCAGCCTGGGCAACAGAGTGAGACTTCAACTCAAAAAAAGAAAAAGAAAAAAGAGAGAAAGAAAACAGAGCAAAATTTGCTCATACTCCATTTGGAACTTTCCCTCCAAAGTTCCTCATCAATTCTTTCATTTGATTCTTGAAGGCCATTATATGGAAGAAAGACAATAGAGTAATATTATAGCGCAACTAGAAAGCCAAGTAGGATCACTCAAAACCAGAGCATGTCAACAGATTTTGAAATCAATAAGATCACAAATATGTAATTTTAGACTCTAGGCAAACAGAAGAAATAATGAAACTATTAGTTTATAGCATGAAACCTAATCAACTGGTCTATTAATTGAACAAGAGGGAGAAGAAATGGAAATCCATAGGCAGTAGCCTAAACTCTTACCCTGAGTACCTTTTAAAATAATATAAATGGGAGAATATTGCTAAAAGATAATAACATCATAACAGCAAACTCTTATTTTTTTGAGTTGGAGTCTCACTCTGTCACCCAGACTGGAGTGCAGTGGCTGCTCCCGGCCACTGCAGCCTTGACCTGCTGGGCTCCAGTGATCCTTCCGCCTCAGC